TTGAAATGAGCTTTAAACCAATTTATTTTCTTTGAAATCAAGTAATGGATTCAGAAAATAAAATGTCAATATGATTCCAATTTTTTTGCCTTGCTTTAGAAAGATTTTAAAATAAACTTGGGCTACGATTCAAGATAAAGCTGTAGATCTAATGTGACAGGATTTCAAAGCCAGATTCTTATGAAAAAAATTTCAGGAAATCCGAGCTTTTGAATCAATACCACTTTCTCGTGTTTGAAATCCTTGTCCATTTATCACAAATCAAATTTTTTAAAATATTTTTAGGAAATTATTTTTTTCACCTCCCCGCCTTCGTTCTTACACACAAACTCATCCACACACACGCACACACTTATCAATAAACACACATGCTCGCTCTCTCACACAACGCTGCTGACCATTGATTTTTACATGACCTTTGTGACCTCAGCTGTTTGTTTATCGCAGGAGGAAGTCACTCTCCGGCAACTGGAAGGCCAACACGGGGTCCGCCATGTTGGAGCAAATCGCCATGAACGAGAAGTAAGGAAAAAGACTGGATAGAATAAAGATGGCAAAGGACGCTGTTTTGAATTTAAGTTTAGGGGTGTCGTGTAGTGGGGAAATGTTTTAACGTTTGAAATGTTGTTATATTTTGATAACACGAACGGATAACCTATATTTCAAGTCTGGTATATGCAAGTTTTTTTACGCAAAAAAAAAACCACCATATTTCTGATTTATAGATGGGACACAAATGTCATATGAATTCTCGTGTTGTATAACGAGTGTATTCATTTTAAAAATACCACCTTCTTTTTTCAAATGGGTACTATCGAAAAATCAGTTTCACGGACCAAAGCGCGTAATGACGCGGCTGAGCCCATCTAGCTCTGATGGGTACCTGTCTTAAGTTGGGGAAAGTAAAGACATCTCAGCATAATGCTGATTGCATCTGCTTTATACACCGATTTGAAAGGATTATTTTTTTTTCATAGCGTATCAACGGTCATTTTGTTCTCGTCTACATTGGGTCTTCAAGCTTAAGGAACGGATTAGTACGAATGTTTTGAAGTGTTAATTTAGGTCTCTACTAGAAATGGTTTAATATCGTTGCCATAGCAGGCAATGTCTACTAGGTTTTCATAGCAGAAAATGATAAGAACCAAAAATTGTATTTACATTTTTTTTAAATTATTGGAAGTTGAACCAGGGTTAACTTAATCATGGTAAGCCCCCGAGGGGCAAATGGCTGCAGCTATACCTCGCCACCAAACTCTGGTTGGGGCAGCTCTCTTTAGTTGTATCATGTAAACTCTGCTGCCACTGCTTCTCCCAGGATGGCTTAGGCCGGCCCACTTTTCTTTTCCCCTGGGGGTTCAAGACCAACGCTTGCCTCGCGATGTTTTCAGCTTCTCTTCCCAGGACGCGCCCGATCCATCCCCATGTTGGGGCTTTAACATCCCTGTCCATCGGCCATTGTTTTGTCATTGGCCAGAGGTCGTTGTTGGCAATTTTGTCATTGGCCAGAGGTCGTTGTTGGCAATTTTGTCATTGGCCAGAGGTCGTTGTTGGCAATTTTGTCATTGGCCAGAGGTCGTTGTTGGCAATTTTGTCATTGGCCAGAGGTCGTTGTTGGCAATTTTGTCATTGGCCAGAGGTCGTTGTTGGCAATTTTTGTCATTGGCCAGAGGTCGTTGTTGGCCATTTTGTCATTGGCCAGAGGTCGTTGTTGGCAATTTTGTCATTGGCCACAGGTCGTCGTTGGCCATTTTAACATTGGCCACAGGTCGTCGTTGGCCATTTTAACATTGGCCACAGGTCGTCGTTGGTCATTTAGTCTGGTCACAGGTCTTTGTTGGCCGTTTTGTCATTGGCCAGAGGTCTCTTTTATTGCCTTTAGATCACTTCCGCTTTATAGTGAACTTCGGCGGAAATTAACATTTCTTTCTAAGCTGTGTGGTCTACATTACACTAGAATGACCCACGTGTAAAAATACCCAGACTACCAAAAAACAAATCACTCACAACAATACCGTTAAAGCGAAAACAGAATTCTTGACAAATACCAAACGTTGGCTGAAAGTGGGCATTACTTATTTACATAAATAGTAGACCACACAATGAGACCAGTCTAGATGATTAAAACTGTTGCCATTATTTGTGATCAAAACACGACCCGAGTTTTACGTACATGAATTTATAATAAGAATTTTTTTACTATTAAATTGTTTGGTAGGTCTATATACAATTTCTTTCATTTAGTGATTACGTATTCTCTGTAATCAAAAATTCTACATGTAAGCTGACATTGAAGTCATTTGTAAACTATTAACAGATTTGTGTTAGTATGTCTGAAACAAAGAAATCAAAGCCTGGCCGATCGATAGAGTGCTGGCATGTTAGCCTTAAGACAATGGGTTCAAATCTTTGCTATGGTATAAGACCAGCACAAACAAAGTAGGGATGGCCAAGTGTTATGGCGATGTACTAGCCCCACAATATGTTTGTATGTGTTGGCGATAGGAACAGAGGAACTCTGTTTCAACAGAAAAAACTGTTCCTACGATGGCTGAGCCACGTTAAAATATAATTGGCCCCGAAGTTTACCGCAAAAATTACGGCTATTTTAAGTGAGGATAAATTAGTGAGATCAATACTCAATGCGGTGATTTTGTTTTATTTAGTTATTGTTTAAAAACGTGTCCATTGGTCTGATGTTAGATGACCTTGACATTCTGTCAAACTTGTATCCATTGGTCAGTTGTTCTGATGTCCTTAGAAATCTTACAAACCTGTGTCCATTCGTCAGTTGTTCTGATGTCCTTGAAATTCTTACAAACCTGTGTCCATTGGTCAGTTGTTCTGATGTCCTTAGAAATCTTACAAACCTGTGTCCATTCGTCAGTTGTTCTGATGTCCTTGAAATTCTTACAAACCTGTGTCCATTGGTCAGTTGTTCTGATGTCCTTAGAAATCTTACAAACCTATGCCCATTGGTCAGTTGTTCTAATGTTCTTAGAATTCTTACAAACCTGTGTCATTTCGTCAGTTGTTATGATGTCCTTGGAATTCTTACAAACTTATTTCCATTCGTCAGTTGTTCTGATGCCCTTAGAAATCTTACAAACCTGTGTCCATTCGTCAGTTGTTATGATGTCCTTGGAATTCTTACAAACTTATTTCCATTCGTCAGTTGTTATGATGTCCTTGGAATTCTTACAAACTTATTTCCATTCGTCAGTTGTTATGATGCCCTTAGAAATCTTACAAACCTGTGTCCATTCGTCAGTTGTTATGATGTCCTTGGAATTCTTACAAACTTATTTCCATTCGTCAGTTGTTATGATGTCCTTGGAATTCTTACAAACTTATTTCCATTCGTCAGTTGTTATGATGCCCTTAGAAATCTTACAAACCTGTGTCCATTCGTCAGTTGTTATGATGTCCTTGGAATTCTTACAAACTTATTTCCATTCGTCAGTTGTTATGATGCCCTTAGAAATCTTACAAACCTGTGTCCATTCGTCAGTTGTTATGATGTCCTTGGAATTCTTACAAACTTATTTCCATTCGTCAGTTGTTATGATGTCCTTGGAATTCTTACAAACTTATTTCCATTCGTCAGTTGTTATGATGTCCTTGGAATTCTTACAAACTTATTTCCATTCGTCAGTTGTTATGATGCCCTTAGAAATCTTACAAACCTGAGTCCAGGGGTTTGATGTCCGTGGCATTCTTTAAAACCTGTATCCAGGGGTGTCCAATGACCTTGACCTCCTTTCAACCCCGCCTCCACAGGTTCAAGCTCTGGGTGGACGAGTGCAGCCAGCTGTTTGGTGGCCTTGACATTGTCGCCGTTGAAGCAATCCAGGGTAAAGACGGGAGGGAGCATATCATTGAGGTAGGTTGGACTGACCGGAAGTGGATGGTGGTTGGGGGGTCAGAAGGTGGATGGTGGGTGGAGATTGACCGGAAGTGGATGGTGGGTGGGGGTGGGGGCAGAAGGTGGATGGTGGGTGGGGGTGGGGGCAGAAGGTAGATGGTGGGTGGGGGTGGGGGCAGAAGGTGGATGGTGGGTGGGGGTGGGGGCAGAAGGTGGATGGTGGGTGGAGATTGACCGGAAGTGGATGGTGGGTGGGGGTGGCAGAAGGTGGATGGTGGGTGGAGATTGACCGGAAGTGGATGGTGGGTGGAGGTCAGAAAGTGGATGGTTGATGGGGGATAGACAGAAGTGGATAACCTTACCCCAGCGGCTTCCATACTGGATTATTCAACTCTTTGGCGTAGCGCAAATTAATACCAGAGAAAATGGCGAAAAATCCAACAGCTATCTGACATCTATAGGGATAAAAATATACCCATCTACACATTCGTTTATCATTAGTGTTTGATCTCTTGGTATTCGAAATGACGTTTATTTGCAGTGACTATCTGATTCTCATTTTATGTGGTTTGTTTGTTTTTTTCTTTCTGGTTTCCAAAAGTGTTTAACCAAGTGCTAGCTAAAGGTTATCTTACCACTACTTTACACTGTGACAAGTTTCCATATCTCATGTAACCAACATCCGCGCTGGCGCAATCTTTGCAGCGGTAAAAGGGAAATAACTACGAGATTCGCCACTGTACATTATTGTAAACAAAAAACGATTAGGGTTCTTGGTGAACAATCGTGTCCATTGTTCATAAACAGATCCACTCGCCGGCTATGTTGACAGTCATAATTGGGTGTGGGATCTTTATTGGGTGTGTGGGGGGGGGGGGGGGGAAGGTAACCATTGTTCTTTATGTGCATGGACGTTGTGATTTAGCCATTAATCTTTACTGTTATGGAAAGGACAATTTAACCCATGATCATTATTGTTATAGAAAAGGTGGGGTCGGGGGGCTGATATAATCAATTATCGTTGTAGATGGGGAGGGGGTGATATAATCATTGATCGTTACTGTTGGGGAGGGGGGGGATATAATCATTGATCGTTACTGTTGTGGAGGGGGGGATATAATCATTGATCGTCACTATTGGCTAAGAGTTGCAACTTAATCATTGATCTATTTTTGGTAGGAGGGGAGGGGGGGTTGATGAGTTTAACTTTTGATCTTACTGGGTTCGGGGGAGAGGTGGTAACCTAACCATCTTTATGGTTTATGGGTTAACTGTATTATTGAGCTTTATGAGTGGTGTGGGGAAAGGGAATTTAACCCTAACTAGTGGCGTGGGGGGATGTGGTTACTTTATCATTGATATTTGTATGTGTACTATGTTGGGGGGGGGGGGGGGTAACCATTAATATTAATTGTTGTGGGTGGTCATGGGGGGGGGGGGGGTAATTTTATCATTGATATTTGTATGTGTGCTATGTTTGGGGGGGGGGGGGGGTGATTCAACCATTGATATTAATTGTTGTGGGTGGTCATGGGGGGGGGGGGTAATTTTATCATTGATATTTGTATGTGTGCTATGTTTGGGGGGGGGGGGGGGGTGATTCAACCATTGATATTAATTGTTGTGGGTGGTCATGGGGAAGGAGGAGGTCAATCTTCCATGTGAGATGTAAACAATGGTTCCACTAACAGTGACCTCTTGAACCACAGAGGTCACCCGTTGTACACGACCTTCACTCACCTGTCTAGAATCTGACGTCAGTGATCATCGCGTGTGTTTATGCTACCACCGACCCACACCTGTGACCTAATTACATGTTTCCTCCGCAGGTGAACGGTTCATCCATGACCTTGCTAGGCGAGGCGCAGGAAGAGGACAGACGTCTGATCGCAGAACTGGTCCTGGCCAAGATGCAGACGTCGTGTAAACCGGTCTCCCAGTCAATGAGGTCAGCACTGACGCGATATTTATAGCCTCGTCCGCTCTCTTCGGTTGGGAGATACGATATTACTAGGCCTTACTTGTTGATGGAGATTTCTAGAATCCTATGAGGGTGGGAGTGGGAGATACTATATTAGAGGCCTTGTTGATGGAGATTTCTAGAATCGAGGAGAGTGGGCGTCAAACTGGAAATTTGTGGGAGAATGGACAGGGGGCACGTAGGAAATTCACAAGTAGGCCTCCTATTAAATTAAATTGGTTGGTCAATATGGACACTGCTTATAGAATTATTGCCCCCCCCCCCCCCCTCTCCAAACAGCAAGTATGGTCTAAAGTACTTTGTCTTACTACTTTTAAAACAGTGTTTCTTTCAGACTTTTTTTCTCCTCCTCGGGGAAAGGGGGGGGGCGGACACTGGTAAAAGTATACATTTTCCATATCAATACTATTTCGCTTTGGGAGGGGGGGGGGAGCGGTCGCGGTCGCGATACTTCGAAGCGATAACTGTAAGAAACACGGTTTTAAAGTACATCTCCCTTGATACCTTTCTGCTAAATGTTAGGATGAAAGACATTGTTCTATATATTTTACTGTAAGTGTAGTCTCTCTTCTCTCTCTCACGCAAACAGACACACAAACACACACAAACTTGCATATATATATATGTATGTATATATATATATATATATATATATATATATATATATATATATATATATATATATATATATATATATATATATATATATATATTAGTATATACACACACAGCACAAAGTATCTACAACAACGCTAGTTCTCTCACTTTCCCATACACCTACACGTTTATATCACTGGTGTAATTATTTTGTACCTGTTTGGCAAATGCCGATCGACTGTCTTTAGCTGAGCGCCAGAAAACCTGGAAACGCTACATTCCAGAGCCAACACACACACACACACACACACACACACACAACTAATGTGTACAGCACACCGCTTCACCTAATGTAATTATTATGCGCCAGCGATTACATCTGTTTTAATTACCTAGTTTTCGATACTCCTGCACGTGTGGGTTTATTAACGGAGCGACTTTCGGAAATAATTGGGGCAAATGTCTATCTTACATCTTACAGAGGGAAATTTATTTTTGAACTTAATATCTAGAACAAAACTGGCTTTCATTTCTATGCCTTTGTCAAAACAAAAAAAATTGCGAATAGGCGGGAGGGGTAGAGAGAGGAAGAAACAGTAATTTGTATTAAGATACCTGTGGTGTTCAGCAAGTGCTTATCATTCTTACGAACATCTGTTTCCAGTAAAGCAACCAGCAGTCACGCGATTATGCACCAAGTAAACGGCAGTCACCAAGGCAACCCGGCTGCTAATCCAGCAAAACCACCCCAGAGCCGACAGCCGGATGGGTAAGTCGTGAGACTGGTGTAAGGGAAATAACCGAGTTATTTATTTAAATGAAACAGACTTTGCTAGTGCCCTCCCTTGATAGTGAGTTCTATTAAAACAAAGTGTAATATTTTGTTTTATTTCCAGATCTTTGCAGCAATCCCCTGGTCAAACAAGAGGACCACCCACGGGACCACCTCAGCCAGCACACATGAACAATCCCCCACCTCAGCCATTCCCCACCCCCAACGCAGCTCCCCCCGGGCTAGCCAGAATGGGAAGCAAGGACGAAGAAGACACCATGAAAAACTTGAGAAAAACGTTCGCGGGGATATTCGGTGATATGTAGCCTTTAAGACCATTCTGGTGACGTGTGACATTTCAGCATGTGACATTTTACCATACAGTTGACATGTGACATTTTACCAACGTGGTGATATGTGACATGTTACCTCCTGGTGACGTGTGACATTTCAGCAGGTGACATTTTACCATCCTGATGACATGTGACATTTTACTATCCTGATGACATGTGACATTTTACCATCCTGATGACATGTTACATTTTACCCTCCTGGTGACATGTGACATTTCAGCAGGTGACATGTGACATCTCAGCAGGTGACATTTCAACATCCAGACCTCCGCGTCACACTGGATGACATCCGTAGCCCAGAGTTTCTAACTTTCTACGCTAGTAGCAGCCAAGTTTTAGCTGAGTTTGGTGTCCCAAAACATTATGGTACAAGTTGAACCTATGTTCTAGCATCGACTACAGTGTATTTTTCTTTGTGCCATTATGTAATGTGCAGCATGAAATAGACTAGAGTAATTATCGCTTCAAATGTTTAAAAATCAAACTTCATCTATGTGATGCCAACTATTTCAATACTTTTATAGACGTTTTTTGAAAGAAAACTTACATTCAACTTATATATGTTTAAAGTAATTATGTGTATGTTTGAGCATGTCAGATTTTTCGGTCGTTGTTCATTCCTCAACATTGGAACTGCAACATCAATTAATCTGATGTCAATGATTAAGGTTGGTGTGTGTTTAAATTGATACAAAAGCTCAGTTTAAAGTATCATTTACTGATTACACCATATGAAACAATTACTTCTATCACGTGTTGTATAAATGATATTAAACAAAAAAAAAAAATTATTATTTTTTTCGTTAAAGATAAGAGGTAGTGGCGTCACAAGGCTGGGGTAATGTAGCGGTCCTCACCGGGTGACATCATTACGCAGAAGCGTAGCGATGGGGGGGGGCAGGGGGGGACATATGTCCCCAGGCGCCGACCTTCGGGGACGCAAAAATTGGTTGTAAAAACAATTTTAAATGTCATTTTAGCTGCATTTTAGCAGTTTGAGGGGGGGGGGGGCTGCAAATAGAAAGTTTGAGGAGGGGGGGGGGGGCAAATCAAAAAGTTGAGGGGGGGGGGGCAAATTAAAAATTTGCCCCCGAAGGGGGCGCCAAATTGAAAGTTTGTCCCCGGGCGCCGGGAAGGGTCACTACGCCTCTGTCATACGAAGGCAGGGGCTCCCATAGAATAATCGTAAAACAGCAATTTTTAACCAGTTAAATAACAAAGTAGTAGGGAGAGGGGTGACACCAAAACTGAAAATGTCAATATTGTTGGAGGGTGGGTGGGAGTGACACCCTACCTAGAGGCGCCACTGGTTTATATTTATGAGACGTAAGCCATTTTGTCATCATAGTACTTAATGATTATAATGTTTGATGAACAAGTGAAGTTTTGGAGAAGGTATGGAGGATTGGGGGATTTCAAATCCTAACGTTAATTTTTTTTAATCAATTTGATGGATAAGCTAAGTTTGTTGCTTTTATTTTTAAATAAATATGATAACGAAGTTTAATTTAGTTTAGAAAACTTCAAATTTTTTTTTAATTATGAAAATTGAATTTGTAAATATATTTCTTACAACATATCTTGTGTGAATGTAACTAGAATATATAGGCCTATATTTATATATATATATATATATATAGCAATTTGGTCAAATGTTGGTTGTCATTGGTGATTCTTATGCACATCGGTTTGCTTGAAACCCAATTTTTTAAATTTTATAAATCATATACATTTCTTACCGTTTTGTTCAATGTTATTTAAGCATGAAGGGAAAAAACTTGCTTAACTGATCAGTAGCAACTAGAGTGATCTGTACGTTCGGTGTATTTTTAACTTATCTCGAGATAACTCTGGAGCGAAGTGTTGATTGGCTGTAAATGTTTTTTTTTTGTCTGATATTATTATGTCAGGTCTTTTATTTATAATCATGTTGAATATGTTAACACGTTTTTTTTTATAGTTATTTTGCACTCTACATCTAATGCCATCATTGACGCTGTAGCAAAATCAAGTCATTTTATCCACATACCTATTTAATCAAACGCTTGTGAATATGGGAGTCCTGATTTGTTTTTAAATGGAAAATGGGGGAAATTTTCCTCAATGTATCGTGTAGGCATGCATGATTGTAAACCGATTAAGCAACCGGAGTCAAAAGATTGTATAAGAATTTAAAGAAAATGAGCATGTAGTGTTTGAGTTCTCAACTTTACATTTTAATAAAAATTTTAGCAATAGTTCTATGTTCCCATTTTTTTAACCACAAATGACAAAATGGAGTTGATTCTTTAAGAAAATGTAGTTTTTTTTTGTTTTTTTTTGTTGTTGTTGATGAATGTGGTAAGTTAAAAAAGAGGAACGTGAATTGTTAAGAAATAAATATTCTGTGTATGTTAAATATATAAAGTAGAATGAGTTTTGCAGAAGTCTAAAATAGTAGGCTTTTTTCCATTTAAAGCTACGGTATTTTTTATACTAATGAATTAGGTTCAAGAATTGTTTTCTCAAATAAGTGGATAGAAAAAAATTATTTTGTGGTAAAAAAAATGGTAGAGTCTAAGAGATTACACTTAAACTAGGAAATGATAAAACTAAGATGTTGTAAAATTGGTTTAGAACCTTCAATTCATTTACAGTCTAACATATTTAAAATAACGTAAAACTACAATAACCGTTTAAACTGCATAACACAAAACTAAAACAAGCACTGCTACTTTGTGTGAATGGATTTATTTTTTCCTTTAGCTTTTTGTGTTATATTTGGAATAATTATTTTCTTACACCTTACCTTTGTTAAAATCTCTTACAGATTAACTGTGATTATTTGTATAAGGACAAAAAAGAAAAATTCAAAATAAATTGGATTTTACTTTATTGTTGCGCAAAAATCTGGCATGTTTGTGTTGCTAGTGTTTAGGGGAAAAAAATCTTTTCAATTTTCATCTTCGTGTTAAATGAATACTTTGACCAATTAACTCTAATGATGTACATACATAGTTATCTGGCCATTTAACAGCTGGTAGTAATTTGCTTATCATGTAGATACAATTAGTGCTGCAGAACTTTCGATGTTTGGATGTGACCGGAAGTGATCTTTCTACTGAGTAGTTCACTGTTTACATTTCATTTTTGATGCCTTTAGTCAATATCCATCTTACTCGTTACCATGTTTACTTGAGGTTCTATTCTTATTTGTGTGTGTTTAATTTTTAATTCTAGAGCATTAGCTCCCAGATGCAATTCGGTTAATTTACTTGCAATAAAATTTAAAATTATACAATACAATTGTCTTGCTCTTTGACTCTTTGGTTTTTTAATCCAGTCCTGATTCCTAATCTGTACTTGTGTTTGCCTCACTAACTCACTTTCATGCACCTGCTTACTGTTTTCAACAAGTTGATAATTTTTTTTGCCCCATGGCGTGTTTGGTATAGGAACTTTGAAAATTTGAATCACGGTATGCATAGGTAGGTGTGACGTAAATGGGTTCTTAAATGCTATTTAATTGGCTCGTAAAGGTTTTGGCTTTTACGACATACAACAAAGGAGTCGCTTTAGTAGTCTACATCACATGCATTGCTGTAGTTTCTATTGAATGCCACATCAGTTGGTTAAGATAATTTAATTTGACAAAGGTTTTACTGAGAGTTTGTCAAGAATGCTTACTTTCAGTGCATTTGGACTGAGCATTGAATGGATCAGAAAGAAGTACGAAAAAAAATGAGATGCGGTTGACACTCTTGAGCTAATTAGGTGACGTGACTTTAATTACTTGGTTATCCTTACACACACACACACACACACACACACACACACACACACACATAATTACATACAACAACCAATGCATGAGAAAACAACCAATGCAAGAGAAAAGATATTTAATTAAGTAATTGCAATACCCAGCACCCATAGAGCGTCTCGGGAGTATAAAAAATGGGCCTATCTGAGCAGGGTTTTTTTAATTAGTAAAGGAGAGACAATAAAATAAATGAACTTGAAAGTACTTTTGATTCGCTTTTAATTGCTATTACTATAAAATGTTGTAAAACCCCATATATATATATATATATATATATATATATATATATATATATATATATATATATATATATATATATATATATATATATATATATATATACATATATATATATATATATATATATACATATATATATATATATATATATATATATATATATATATATATATATATATATATATATATATATATATATATATATGCACATTTAATTTAAATAGTTTTACATTGCACGCAAAAGCGTGAACAATGAACTCTTCTTTTAGATACCTGATGAAACAGCAGCAGCCTTGAATTGAGCTTGTAGGCACGGCTGTATTAAGTAACCAAGTTGTCGAAGTGGCCAATTTTAGAAGTGTGGTCAGCGCCTGCCTGACTGACGCAGAAGCTGACATCAGACTTTAAAATAGCCAGAACCCCAGACAGGTCACTTCAACCTTAAAAATTTTTGAAATGTTGAGTCTACTCTCCGATTCGGTCACTGGCTAAAAAAAATAATAATATCATGTTATCTGCTAAAGATAGTGGTACTCATTTGACGTCGTTCTCCCCCCCCCCCCCCCCCCCCCGAAATAGAAAAAATAATAATTCATATCGAAAAACATACTTTATTTATGTGTATTATGTGTATTTTCCCCTTCTTTTCACCCACGGAGAAAAATATCTGAAAGAAACACTGGTGGCACTTCCTGTTGCTTAATTAGGGAGGTCCAACCTGAAGGAGTGGACCTAATATGACCCAGAGTGATTGTTTAACTGGCACGGACTTTAGTCACTACTGTCCACCCTAGTTCTCTTAGTATTTCTTAAATAAATATCTGGCTAAAATTGAAAAGTTTCATTATGCAAGTTGCCAGTTGTATCGTGCATATGCTGTATAACACACAAAAAATGTGACATTTAAATTTAAATGACCCACCCGGGACGTATATGTGATTCAACTTTTCCATAGGCCACCACCCCTCAGATTATACAACATTTCTATGTAGCATCTTTAGGTAGGTCAGTACACACACAAACTCACACACAAAAAAAAACAATTTAATGCTACGTGTTTTATTGCTCTGGCGCACTTTAATACTTTAATACTATGCCGCACTGTCGTATTTGAACTGTCATGGACTTCCGACGAACCCCTGAGACTTACTCACCGTGCCCCCCGGTATTCGATCGAATCCAAGTCAGAGTTTCTTCCAGGCATCTCTTCGGGGGAGCAAAGCCCCCCCCCCCCCCCCGAAAAAATTCTACCGCCCCCCCCCCCCCCGAACGAAATGAAATTTATATAATTTATATAGAAAATATACACTTTTAACAGTGTCCGCCCCCCCCCCCCGAAGAAAGTCTACCGCCCCCCCCCCCCCGAAAATTTCAAGTGCCCCCCCCCCCCCGGAGAAAAAAGTCTGGAAGAAACACTGATCCAAGTTAAAAACCACTGGACTATAATATGCTTTTAAATTTTAGTCGAGTTTAAATATGTTCTATCGCTT